GTATGAGTATCATAAGCATAGTACGGGTACCATATATAATTTTAACAAATATGAGTAAAATAGTTAGTAAGTTCGCGAGTAAGCATAACATTACTCAAGAGAACAATTACCTATTTCAATTGCAGATAAATAAATTTATTGTATGATGGTAGTCATCGATGAACCTATTGGCGGCAAGTGGGTTGATACTATCAACATCATTATGATCACTTGTTGACGATCTTGTAATGGTGTTGGACCTGTTGTTAATTTATTGAAATCCTATGACGTTACGGCAAAGTAAGACAAGTTTGGCCTACTTTTTCCCTAGGACAAAACACTATGGCTTTTGAATGAGCCTAAATTATAATGAAAAATGTTATCTTTACAAAGACGCATATAAAGAGGGTTACAAAGTGACATCATCCAGAAGAAAAAAACAAAGAAAAAACGAAAAAAAAGAGAGAGAAAAAAATCATGAAAATCAAAGGTAAGGATTGTCTTTGTATGCCCTCTTTGTATGTGTCTTTGTAAAACTAGTATTACTCAATTATAAAATTCCTTTTATCATTTTCAAGATGTTTCAAAGATTAAATATTTGTATTAGCGATTTATTAAAATTTCACAATTTTTTTTTATCTAATACAAGAAAAGTGAGAGCGAAATTAAATTTGTGTTAAAATTGTATATGTACTGAGAATATATTGGATAGAAGTTAGTTAATAAAAACCGTAAGGGCAACAAAGTAATTAAATTATTGGACGTTAGTGGCAAAAAGGGTAAGAAAGTAATGTTCTCATGAGATGACGACAGCCATAAGATAAAAATCTGGTACAGTTTGATGCGTTGGACTTGAAATAAGGTGTGGATAAGATGAGATCTTGTAGAGAGGGACAGACTAAGAGGATGAGTGAGGGGTAGTGGGTTCACATGGTGTTCTGGTACGTTGTTTTTAGAGTAAACGACATACTCCCCCCCAAGGTTTGACAAAATCCCAAGTTGGTACCTTATGTTACATTTATTCCAGATTCCCACCCTTAAAGTAATGAAAAAATGTTTGGTGTAACGGTAAAAGGGTAAATTGATCGTTTTACATGGGCAGCACACGTTAGCAGACTGTTGCCTCTAACAATCCTCCAGTGCATGTTAGCAGACGGTGTCCCCAATGTTTTTCGCCCTTTTTTCGACGATTCTTCCACCCAAAATCACTTTTATCACCACCATTTGAACCTTCATCCTCCCCTTTACAAAACTATACCCTTCACAACTCCTCAACACTCGCCGATCGCCAGCCATGGTAGCCGCGACCTACAACTGGTTTTTGCCAGTTTTTGACCGTTTTGAACAGCAACAACCCTAACCACCACTCCCATTTGACTCCTCGCATCCTCCCTTATAAAACCCCTAACCTTCCCAGCCATGACAGCTAACTGTTTGCCGTCCACCACTTCACCAAAAAAAGGCCGATGAACACAAACTTTCGGCCGGCAAATGACGACGAAACAGTTGCTGGAGACATAGGGGTTTTATAGATTTGGAAACGGTTGTTGCAGTGGTGGTGCACAATTGGATTTTCGTAGCCAGAATCGACTGAAATTCGACGAAGAACACCGAATCCCTAAGCCTAACAGAGTCGATGATTGGAGAGGCCAATGAGTCAGGAACCAGAAGGGTTTTGGACGACGAACTACGGGGAAGGTGATAGAGGTGACCAGAGGGGTCGACGTAGTAAGAAACAGGCCAAATTGGGTTGTTTCTGACAAGGGTGTGTAGTGATTAAGGGTGTTTTTGACATAATTTAAAAATAAAATGATAAGTATAATTCTACTAATTTTAGGGTTACAATATAATTTATTAATTTAGAGTTAAGGGTATTATAATAATTATATTTTTTAAACCCTAAAAATTGATAATATTGTTATTTTAAAGATAGGGAATTTAAAATAAATGTAACATGGGTGCTAAATTAAGATTTCTTCAGGGTGAGAATAGTCGTTTACTCGTTTTTATCACCAAAACTTTCATCTTTCTCTCTCACAAAACTATCACCACCGTCAATTATTTTGTTGTTGCAATGATTGAAGTTGCGTTGAGCGGTCTTTTCAACTAGATTATATTTAGATATAGGCCTATGTCTCTGGTGAAACGTGAATGAAAGATATCAGAGACGTATCATATCTCTCTGACTAAACCTGAACATGACAACATTACTCCCGTTGCCCGTCCTATTTTAACATGTGTTTTAGTCATAACCTTTCATTACCTGTCTTCCTGTCATTCAACTGCCCCCATACCATTTATGTTAACTTGAAAACACGAGGCCCTTCCGGTTCCAGGTGTTTACCGGAATCCAGCTCAATGGAATAAACGACTTTTTTTCCATCACAATCTCTATATTACTCTTTTATACTTATTTTTATTATACCAATATTGTGATAACATAATCATATAAATTTTATTATAATATTAAAAATTCATATAATTATGACATATATTACATCATATATAATAAATATGATATAAATATAGTATTATTTTTTTATCCCTGTATCTTTAAAATATAATTATATTACTTAAATTTATGTCCATTTTTTATTTTCTAACCACCTCTTTCAACTTAAATTTCTATCAATTTTAACTACCAAAATCTAATATTCTATCACCAACAAATTTATTGGCTTCTCTTCTTTAAAATTCTTGAATTAAGTTTACTTTCTATTCACTACCAGAGTATAAATTTAAATAATAAAATAGTATTTTAAAAGTTTATAATAAACTATCATTAAACTAATATTTAGATGAAAAATAATCATTAACTCATTTCAATGATTACAAGTCAAATAATTTAATTTTTATTATGGCTGCTTTATGGCTGAACTAGGAGGAGATCTAGTAACCAAATCTAAGTTTATGCCTTTCGATTCATACTTGAAAGCAACATCCACGGTCCATATTCCTTAGCAGAAGAAAGATTTTCTTGTTTAGTTTAAAAATATACAAGCATTTTCACTTAGAATGACTTATTCACATCAAACAAGAAAAACTGAGCCATAATTACAGAATTGGAATTATAGAAGAAGCCAAACGCAAGTGAAATAATTTCATCACAAAGTCGCCGATGTGTTGTGCCTAATTTGCTGGCGGTTAGATCTGTGACAACCGTCCTTATGGTGTATCAAAGCCTGAGCGTCAGGATTCTCCCACATGTTGTCCCATAAGTGCTCATATTCTCCCATAAGTTGATTAGTGTAACAAGCATGGTTTAAGCTACCATTTGTATGGTGCAGTCTGTCATCAGCATAGAGATTGCTGATTCAGATCTTGATTAAAGGGATTATATATATATAAAAGCAATCCCATAATATTTACTCCTAACCATTGTCAGACGAACCAAATATAAAAGGAGCTCATAACCACTATTTCAAAAGATTTTAGTGTTAGTAAAGTTTAAGAGGAAAACATGCTTATACATGTAAAAGAGCGTTAAGTGAGAGAAGGTCGCTAGAGCTCGCGTCCATTCCCCTTGTAGTCTCTCTCGATCCTATAATACCTCTAGGCAACAACATAACAGTAGATGTAGGCTTGGTCTTGCTATTGTTAAACCACTATAAAATCTCTTTTTTTATTTACTTATTTACGTCGTTTTATCGATCTCACTGGTTATCAATGATCATGTACACATCTTACCTGGCCTCTCTCGAGGTCGACTGGATATTTTTTAGGGAGAATGACATTTTCCCACCCAAGGTTTGGCAAAACTATACTTTCCCATCCTTCAAGTTTCAAAATGACACTTTCCCACTCTTATTAGGTTCTGTTATGTTTTCTGTTAATATTTTACTGAAAATATGAAAATACACTTAAATATTTGACTTTATAAAATTTTTATTATTTTTTAATTAGTCAAAAAAGAAAAAAGTACTTAGCCTCACCTAAGAAGTTGAGAATAATGCTATGAAATTGTTTAAAGTTAAATGACCTTAATATTTATTTATTTATAATGTCATTAATATCTCATCACTATAATTCAATAATCTACTAAATTTATAATATTTTTAATTTTTATTAATTAATATAGAAAATTAATATTCTTAATTAATTAAATAAATAAAGAAAAAAAGATATCTCTAAACTTGAACATAAATAATCGAGTAAAGACTTTGTCTTAAGTAAATTTTAATTTATAATAAACTAATTAAAAAATAAACTATTTAATAATATTTTTATATTTTTAATTAAATATTAATAAAAAAGAATACTAATATAATCTGATAATAGATGAAAAAGTGCCATTTGAAACTTAACGGTTGGAAAAGCGTCAGTTGGCCAAACCTTGGTGAGAAAATTCAAAATCGTTCTCCTTATTTTTTATCAGTACTAATTTTAGCAATGAATGAACGAAACGTGTAATGGCCAGAATTGAGCAAACACTGTGTAATGGTCAGAATTCAGCAACCAAAGAACGAAACGTGTACTGGTCCGTCCCCTCCATTCGAATCTCATTGTAATATTTGATTTTGAAAAAGCATGTACTTTATTGTGTGGTGGTGGACGCACATCTTGAATAAACTTTTCAATAATTTAACCATACATCGATAAATTCCTAATTCCTCATCCAATGGACATGCAAATGCAACTGGTTTGATAGCTTATGGCCATAAAAAGCGAATCCAGTTTGATTACGAGAGAGCCAAGCACGTGATTATTCTTTTTCACCAAAAACGAAAACCTAAATTTGGGATTATTCAAGTACAAAAGCTTGTAATATAGAAAAAAAAAGCATCAATCAGCTAAAGATAAAGTCTGAGTCATATTTCCACTTTAGTAAAACTATACATCCATTATTAATGTTACTGGCCCAGTGCATTTGTAGTTTGTACAACCATTTCCAAAAAAAGAAATAAAGGTAAAATAAACTATAGTATTATTGGTGTTTGTACATTTGTGGCCAGGAAAAGAGATTGATTATATCCAGTTGCCTTCTACATGGACTTTATGATATAGTAATCAATATATATTAACCTTTGTTATCTTATAATTAAATTTAATTACTTCCATTTCCAGTTCTTCAAAGTTTGCCTATAAATTCATACCTTCACTTCCTATCAATCTCCATACCCAACTCACAAACACCATTGCAAAACATGTTTCAATTCAATGAAATTCCTTCTTTTTCATCTGTGGTCTCAACCTATGCCTCTGTTGCAGCCTCAGCGCTATTGTTTCGATCAATAGCGAAAGATCTGCTACCAAACGAAGTTCGAGAATTTGCCATTTCTAAACTCCGCCATATATTCCAACTTCGTTCAAATGAAATCACTGTAGTTATAGAAGAAATGGATGGTATCAAATGGAACGAAATTTTCGAAGCCTCCGAGGTTTACTTGGCCACGAAGCTCAGTTCCAACACCCAAAGGATCAAAGTTATGAAAGCCGTAAACGAGAAGCACGTATCAGTCCACCTCGAGAAGAACGAAACGATCGTCGATCATTATGAAGGGGCTGAGCTTAGATGGAAATATGTTGTTACAACTCCAGACAAGATCAGTCACCCAATGGGACGTCCTCCTAGATTTGACTGCAGATCTTTTGAGCTCACCTTCCAGAAGAGACACAAGGACCTGGTGATGGGATCTTACTTGCCATATGTTCTCAGGAAAGCGGAGGACATAGCTGATCATCACAGGGTTTTAAAGATGTCCACCCTTAACAACTCGCAACCAAATCAATGTCTCAGCTGGGAATCCGTTAACCTTGAACACCCGTCTACTTTTGAGACTTTGGCCATGGATCCAAAGCTCAAAAACAAAATTATAGAGGATCTGAACAGGTTTATTAGAAGGAAGGATTTCTACAAGAGAGTAGGGAGGGCATGGAAACGCGGCTACTTGTTATATGGTCCTCCAGGAACTGGAAAATCAAGCTTAGTTGCAGCAATGGCGAACTATCTCAAGTTCGATGTCTATGATCTCCAGCTAGCAAATGTAACAAGTGACAATGATCTCAGACAGTTGTTGCTGGCTACCGGGAATAAGTCCATTCTTGTTATTGAAGATATTGATTGCAGCGTGGACCTGCCTGAGAGGAGATATCATGAAGATGATGATGAACAGCTTGATGAAAAGGTTAGTACTCATATACCATAGTATTCCTAGTTATTTAACCGATTATGGTAAACTGAATTGATCCATGATATAGTTTTTGTTTCTTTCTTTTTTTGGGTAAAAGACAGTCACGACTCACGAATAATTAGCTTAATGTTAGCTTTCTAAACATATGCATTTTGTTTTACAGTGACCTTAAACAGAGATTTTCAAATAATTATACTGTATACACCACCACCACTATCAACCATCCTAGTTATTGTCAAATGAGAAAATCCATTTAGTTTTGGGGAAGGTAGGCATAAATGATCATTTTCCAGGTTATTTTATACAGTGTGCAAATAGTTCAGTACTAAAGCAGATATAACTTTTCCTAAGTGTCATTTAAAGTTTAAACGAGTTCATAGTATTATATTATACTGAAAATAATATATGGTTTGGTGAGGTGCACCATTATCTAGGTTAAACTGTACAGCTGGTAAGTAAATATTGCAGCAAGTACATTAATAGGGAAAAAAAAAAAAAAAAGTAAATTAATGGGTACAGCAATTTACATGTTAAACGACAAATTCTCACCCAAGATTAGGCGTAACGCGTAAGTAAGTTTTCTCTTCCTATATGTTTAAAAAAACAATTTTCAACTCATCGATTAAGACCTGTTAGTGAGAGACTAAGATCTACTATGGTAAAACTACGAAAAGATATAATATCTTTTACTATTTGATTTTATAATTTTTAATGAAGTTGAATAACTGTTCCCACTGAAACTTTACTAAATATATTTTTCAGCCCTAGTTTGGTTTATATAAATTTTAGGGTTAGTAAATTCAAAAAATAATTTAAAAAATAAACCCAGTTATTTAAAATAAACCGTGGACTCCGGCAACATAGCCAGTGTTGATGGGTGGATTGTTGGACGATATGTCCAACAACACAAATGGGGAAGCCATTGTTGACAGCTATTCTCCAAAATACACTGGAGACTATTTTGTGAAATATTCTTCGACATCCTTTTTCGATGAAATGACTTTACCAAGGGACTCTTCATTTACACTGTTGGACACCAACAAAATGGCCAGACTCGTCGCCAGAGACTAAACCCAGATTCGATTGACGACAGTTAGCCGACTTAAACTTTAGCTAGTTTTCATTCTTCATGGATTTTTTTAAAAAAAAAAAAAAAAAAAATTAAATTGAAGATAGGGTTTAAATGACTAATTATTAAGTTGGTGAAGGTAATTTTATGTTTATAATTTAGGGGTGCAAATGATATTAGCCTCATAATATGCATTGTTTAAACTAACAAGAATGCCTTTTTGCTGTTAAACTAGGAGTGATCGAGTCTGAGTACCCTAGAGGAACTGAAATTGGAATTGGCCAGTTTTAAGAAACTGAAACCTGTGAAATAGGTTCCTGTTCCGGTTCCAAATACCTAGAAAAATTATCAAATGTTCCCTATTAGTTTAGAAAATGACAAAAACACCTTTAAAAATTATAAATACACCCCTTTTTTTTACAAAAATACAAATATGATTGATTATTTATTTCATATGGCCCAAATATAAATCACGACATTTTTTATTTTAATAAATTCTTTAAATTTTCTCTTTTTAATTATTTTAAATAATTTTAATACATAGTCTAAGTCTTCGCGTGCATCCAATTTTAATATATAGTATTTTGGACACGTTGTGTTATCAGAAGTGTAAATCGTTTGACATCCTAATTAATTCTACAACCGACACAATGAGGAAAGTAAGCAAAATTCTATAATTAATTGATATATATATAATAATCTGATTTTAGCAAGTAATACAAGGGAAAATGCGTTTCCAACTACCATTTTTTCTAAACTTTAATTAATTAAATTAAATTGGTGTTGTCAGTTTCTATCACACTCACCTAATTAGACAATCACATAAATTCATCTATCTGCTATTGAGTTTTAATTAATTTATTTTGAATTCATGTCATTGTTGTGTCACGTGGGGGTCCAGTTAGAGTCCAGTAAAATTAATCAAGTGACTAATTAGATCATAATATGAATTAAGAAAATGATTGGTCAGTAATTGATTTCCTTTTAGACTGAGGTAAAAATTAAAATTGCTTAATCATTGACTCCATTAATCATATCATCTCTTACTTTGTTTAGACCCACATTTTTTTGAATGCTAATTTTGAGTAATTTCAACTAATTAAGCAAGTTTAAATTAACAGGTTCATAGTCTCAATTGTCAGATCACAAATTGATATGTTCATTATTTGTTCACAAATTGATTTTCCCCAAATGTTAATCAAACTGGGAATTTTGATTTGTAAATGTAAAATTACTTAAAACCCCCCAATGTTGTATTCTATTTTAATGCAACCTCGATTCCTAAACCAGTTCCTAACAAGATACCATATTCCCAGTTCTGGTTCCCGGTTCCAACAGGATCGGAATCGGAATCGGAATCGGAATCGGAATCGGAATCAGAATCAGAACCAGGGAGTCTCGGTTCCTATTTTAAAGAACCGAAACCTACCTTCTGGGGCCGGTTTCGGTTCCTACCTAGAACCAGAACCTCAAGTACCCGTCGGTCCGAGTAGAACCTATTTTCTTGCTCACCCCTGGTTAAAACTAACGTTTAAATTTTAATGATGGGTGGAAATTTATTTTTTTGAAACATATCAGGTGGGAGAACTTACTTGCGGCTAACCTTGGGTGGGAAATTGTCATTCTCCCGCAATTTATATTGAATGGTTAAATTTTAAGCAAACAACTTTTGCCCACCCAAATAATGACTTAATGACACTTTCCCACCCACAGACTTTTAAAGTACCACTTTACTACGAAAACTTATATTTTTTTTTCCGATTTCGGCATCGTTGTGACCCCACACCACCAGTATTCTCTTCCTCGGTCATCACTCATCAAAACCCCTCAAACCTTACTCCTGCCTATCCCGCCAATCATCGGCAATCGAACGATTAGGGTTTACGCAACCGCTTCTCCCAAGTCAAATTCTGATCAATTATAACAGTCAAAATCCAACCTTCCACCACCAAAAGACTCATTGGCTTCCCCTGTTCAAAAGCCCCAACAGCTTGGACCGAGTTTGGTCTCTGTTTGCCATCGGTTTGGGTAGTAAAATGATATTTTAAAAGTATGTGGGTGGGCAGACATTAAGCCATTATTTGGGTGGGAAAAGGTAATTAACTCTAAAATTTTGGGTTGAGAGTTTTGATGACTGGACCGACCTAACACTGACTCTCGGGGCTTTACCAAACATATGTTTAGTAGTTCGGTTGGATCTATTCCTCATTAATTTATGGGATTGACATATTTGTATACTCGGTAAGTGGTTTTATCATTTTTAACTGAGCTGACACCCTATGACTTGAAGCGGCCCGAGGGAAGAAAGAGAGGGAGAGCCGCCGGCCGGGAAGAGAATTTTGATGCGGTGTCTAGACCACAGCGAAATTCCTGGGTACGTATAATGTAGTAATTGTAGCACATTTATATATTAATTCATTATCTATTCTCTAGTTTAATCAATTTTTGTGTGACGCAGGTGACACTCTCAGGATTGCTAAACTTCGTTGATGGTTTGTGGTCTAGTTGCGGCGATCAGAGAATCATTATATTCACTACCAACAACAAGGAGAGGCTTGACCGTGCTTTGCTGCGTCCAGGACGCATGGATAAGCATATTCATATGTCTTACTGTACCTTTGCTGGATTTAAGATCTTAGCCTCTAATTACTTGGGCATTTCTGATGAACACCATCTCTACCCAGAGATTAAATACTTCATTAAGAGGGTAAAGATAACTCCTGCACAAGTTGCAGAAGAGTTGATGAAGGATGAAGATCCCGACGTGGCACTTGAAGGATTTCTGAAAACCCTCTTCAAAAAGCAAAGTAAGGAGGTCGTCTATGAAAGTGACGAAGAAGCTGAAGAGGATGAAGAAGAGGAAGAAGTTTCAACGTCCAATGAATCAAAAAGACAGAAAACCGATGCGGTGAGGAGAGCAGTAGGAGGCAACGGAAAGGCAAGAACAAAGTAGTCAGCTCTTAAAGACAAGCCATGACTAATTGGCTCTAATCAAACTACATGTTGAGCTAATTAAACCAGTTAGTATTTAGTATGGTAGTGTTTTTAAGTTAAATAAAAGTCCATGTAGTTTTCTGCTCGTTGACTAAGTGTGCTAGTCTGTTTATTTCATTGAAATTCTGGTGTGAATTTAGGGGTGCATACGAGCCAAGTACTGGCTGGCTCGAGCTCGGCTCGGATGCATTAGTAAGAGGCTTGAGCTCGACGAGCTCTGGCACACGAGCTCGAGCTCGGCTCAGCTTGGCTCGATTATATAGTAAACGACCCGAGCCGAGCCGAAATCGAGCTAAATAATTAAAAAAAACATGTTGCACAGTATCAATATTCAATTGAATTCTGCCCTTCTGCTCAATTTAATTTGGCACGTTATTAAACTAATCCAGCTCATATGAACACCCGAAATACACTACCATCCATCAGCAATGAATCATCGCCTTTTACCGTAAAGCACATAACTTCTATATTAATGCTCATCAGTATTTGCCGGAGTTATAAGGAACACTAAGATTCATGGATCTCCACTTTCCTCTGAACAAAATACAATGCCTTGAACACTTCAGACCAAAAAATTTCACCTAAAATAATGGGTAGTAATTTATAGCAAAATTCAGTTGATTTTAAATTTCCGATCAATACTTCAGAATAAGGAATCTTTCTTGCAAATTTAATTCACTACCAGGTGTTCCCAGTGTCACATGAAAACCAACATAAAGAGATATTACAAATAGAAGCTATAGACATAACCCAAAACATCAGAGTCTCAAAAGCATGTTTCAATCATCTTCTCTTTTTGGGGGCAGGCCGCAAGGCAAGAGCATTTTCTGCACATACCGATAGAAAGAATGAACATTAGTAATTTAAGATTTAAGAAGAGTTACATACCAAATGAAACATTTATTAAGGGTTGTGAACTTTTAACTTACAAAGCTTGAAAAGTTAGACACAAAATATATAACCATGCCATCCAACAAATCAAGCTTGCTTAATGCTTCAATTGCTATAAAGCCAAGTTCCAAACTGTTATTTTTCAAAATGTATTAGCATACTTTAGATGACATTATTCCAATGAATATTTAAAATTCTCTCTGTTCTCCACTACTCCCTTATTTACTCACAACATTGATAATTTTTCTTATCTCTTATCTCTTCTTAAACTCTTTATTATTCCTTTTAATGAGAAAAAATCAGTTTCACTTTGTACTCCCAAACAAGCAAGAAGTACTTAGACAGATAAAAAGCAAATTAAGATTTCAATGGTGGGCAACTAGTGCATACTTGCACACATAGAAAAAACATGGAGACAATACAGATGAATTATAAACATCATGCTTATAGCACAACTCCATGTGCAATGTCACGTGTATACATAATAGGTGAAGTCCCTCATCTTTTAGTGAGCAATACTGTCACATGATTGTGCAGTTTAATCATTTACAAGCTATTCCCACCAGTACTAAATGATTGCATTATGATGAATACTTCCCTTGCAAATCCCTTTCTCACACACACAATCCAGAACACAATCTACACCACTCTCAGCAAACACAAGAATACACCTCCGAACCATTCAATATAATAGTAAACAAAGCAACAGATTCACAAATAGCAAAATGGTATGAAATGAAGATAAGTAATCATTGTTATATTGCTGAATAAACGGAAACAAATGGAACAAAATGAAAAGACAGACTGGTCACTAATCTGTCACGATTCCACCAAAACTTCATAGGATCGGAAGCTGAAACTCCTTATTTGTCTTCTCTTTCTAAACAACAAAGAAGAAAACCAATTGTTTTAGTTTGAATAATGTTAATAAATGACCAAATAATGCCATAATTTTAATAAATTGGACTATGGAAGTATGAAACTTACTTTGTAACTTTTCTTGACTTTATACAAATTGCGACACCAATCACCACCACAGAGTAGCACTTGCAAAGTACTGGAGACAACGATGATCGATAAGTATCAATAACTCGACTCCCAGCACTGAAAGTTGCCTCCAAAGCAACCGTGGTGATTGGAATGACAAGTATTTCACGAGCCATCATAGATAGAATGCGATAGTTCATTTGATTTACCTTCCACCACTGTAACGCATCAAATGATGTATCATCCTCGTCCCATAACAAACATTTCTCCTCTAGATATCGATCTAACTCAGATTTCTCATGTTGCAACGTTTGAGTTGTCCTACCAAACTGACAGAACTGTGAACTAGTACGTTTAGGGCGTTGTTCATTGTCTCGCTAAACTTTACTGATTTCTATAGGTGGTTCACTGTTGGAAGATTGACTTTCCATTGCATATTCCTCATAAATCTCATACAAGGCAGCTTGAACTTCATCAATTTTGTCTTGTGCTTCTTTATTAGGATACATTTATGGGTAGGCAAATTGCAACAGCCTCATTCTCATCCTCGGATCCAATACAGTTGCAATTGCCATTACAAAATTGCATTCGCCCCAATACTTGTCAAACTTTTCTTTCATCTTTCCCATCATTGACCAAATGAAATCATCATCATCAGAACACTTTTCATCTAGCAACTCTTTTATGCCAACAATTTCTTGCAAAAATAAGTTAGAAGTGGGGTACTCACTCCCCGATATGACATTAGTTGCCGAGTTGAAGGCTTCCAAAATCTCACACACTTTCTCAAGTTTTTCCCAATCTCATCTATTGGGGCACAAGTAAAGTTATTATCCAATTGAACTAACATTGGAAACACATCTTTGTACTGAACTGCAAGTGCCAACATCTCATAAGTAGAATTCCACCTCGTTTTGCAATCAAGTATGAGTTTCCGCTTGGGCAACATCTGAACAATCTCTAAAAACATAATTTCTCTAGTCTCCGGTTGCTTGACATACAAAATACAGTCACGTATGTCTTGAATAATGGGCTTAATTTGGGAAAGCTCATCCTGAACCATGAGATTCAATATGTGTGCCGCGCACTGCACATGAAACAACCTCCCACCACACATTAGCTTCTTGTTTCTTCCTAAATTCTCTTTCAAAATCTTGATTGCCGCGTCATTACTTGAAGCATTGTCAACCGAGATACTGAACACCTTGTTCTCAATTCCCCATTCAATTAGACACTTATGCATAGCAGCAGCAATCTCAACACCAGGTCGAGGAGCCGGTATATGAACAAAATTGAGCAGACGCTTATGCAACTTCTAATCATTATCAATAAAATTTTCGGTGAGAACCATGTACTCAAGCTTCTGATTAGAAGAATTCCATAGATCAGTTGTTAAACTAATCTTGTTAATACTCTTAAGCAAATTAACCAACTTCTTCTTTTGTATCTCACACACAATCACACAATGTTGTTTCAAAGCAGTACGTGTTATCTTCTCCCATAATGGCATACCACATCTTTGCATCATGTTAAAACCCTCCTCCTCCACAACTGTAAATGGATGCTCATGCATGAGCACCTAATTAGCAGCTAGTTCCCGCATCTTGTTCCCGCATCTTGTTCCCGCATCTTGTTCATATCAAACTCGGCATCTGAAAATGCAAGTGCATATTGCATTGAGATTTCATGCGTTACACTGGCTAGCCCAAAAAACAATTGTGTTTGCCTCTGACTACTTATTTGCTTCAAACATAATTTCAAATGTCTTGCAAACTAAGTTGTGCTCTTGGTCTCCGTTATTGCGAGCTTTGCCTTACAATGAATACACTCTCCCTTTGTAGAGCCATCCGGTAGAACTACCTCTTTAAATTCATTCCAAACTGCTGATGTCTTTGGTCTCTTTTTCCTCTGAAAATGATTAACTTTCTCCTCGTCAGTACGAGGGGTAGAAGCATCAACACCATCACCGGGTGTGCCTATGGGTGTGGCATCATCATCAGACCAAGTTTCAAAGATATCTTCTAATGGTTGCATTCATGAAGTGGAAGGGTGTGTTCGATTGGGGGTGAATGACAGATGCTCCATTGGAATAAATAAATCCCTCTGCAAAAGGAATATAAAGTCAGAAACATTAAGCCAAAAACCATTCTAGCAAACTACAGAACTACAAATGATTGAAACCCAACGAAGCCAATTAAAATCATATTTCACTCCCCACAAACAAAAACCAAATATGAATTGCACTGCACTGAACTGCCGAGCTAAGAACTAATTTAGTAACAAGGCTACTAACAGAGCTAAGAACTTGGTAAGCTTGATTAATACTTACGCATATAAAACCCCAAAATATATATCAATCACTTCTCTTCTTCCTAAACTCAAAATTCTCTCTACTTCTGAAACTCTCTTATTTCTCCCTTACATACCGTAAGTGATTTTTTTAATGAGTTTTAAAATACAAATAAAAATTTGATCATATGGAAATGGATTGATAAAAAATTAGTTTAATGATATTACTCATATATAATAAAAAATAACGAAGGTGTTATTTATTTTATTATATTATATTAGCATGTAGATATCGTAATAGATATGGTTCAAATGGACTAATATTTGAAATAATGCTTGCTATTGCATTTGATCAAAAGGCTAAATAGCACCTATAAAGCAACAAGGATATAATATAGAGCCACCGGCGCTTTGTAATTCCTATTCAATCAAAGGGAAAACAAGACTATAAAGACAAGAAAAGCGCGGAAAATGATTAAATGATTAACATTTGACGGAGTACCTTGATAATTCTTCGAAGTAGATTTTTATTAGCCGTTGAATTTAAGAAATAAAGAAACAGAGAAGTGAGGGACTAGAGCTGAATCCAATACTCGGATATGAAAACTTAATCATCAAGTGTTGATACTATTTGGCTTTGCTTCTTGTTATTTGAAACTCCTTTATTACCAATTTCGCGCTTCTCAATCCTCACCCTTTATATGTCTAAAACAGTTGATTTAATTCAAATTGATTAGATATAACTTTGTCAAATCCTATTCCTCCAAAATTGAAAATGTATCACTTGGTAATATTAAAGAGGCTCCAAAACAGCGAAGACTTACGAGCTTACATTCAGTATAAGACAACAGATGATGGAAAGCACAAGCACAAAATGATTTTATCATTTGTTTGTGGGCTACCAAATGCGGATCTTTACTGCCAAATCAATACTCATTATAAACTATACAGGCTGGCTCATAATTTATAACAAAAAAAATAATTCATGAAAGAAACTAAGAAAGCTTAAAAAGCAAGAACAGTTTTTATGCCTGAAAAAGTAGGGCTGACGCCAAACCTTGTCAGCGTGGGTGGTCAGAGCTTAAGTAGATTCTACAGCCGTTCAGACGCAGCCACGTCGCATGCTGACATGAGCGGCATGCTCCTGCTAGTGTAGTGGATATGCGCCAGATTGGCGAAAGGCTGGAAAAG